CCTACCTTTTCGATTTAGCTTAAACGGACCGCCCCAGACTTCTCACAGTTAGACAGGTTCGATTAGCAGCACATCCTATTGGCCGATTTGCGAGTTGATCTGAGTGGAACAGTTAGTTTGACTTTCCGAAAAAAAGTTCTGATGAGGTAAGTAGAGGTTGAACTCAAATTGACAGGATGCAGTAATACAATTCAAATACAGGTCTAAGTGATCGCAGCAGCAATGGTTGCACTAGATGGTTGCCACACAAGCAATGACAGTGGATCGCAATGTGGGCATTGGATTCATGCTTGGAGACAACAACCAAAGATTAGTTTTTTGGGGGGGGGGGGGGCAAATGGGCACCCTCTGAAAGCGATGCCGCGTAATATGCAGTGAATTTTGTAAGTGGACGACTAGGGATTCTGAGCAGAAAATACGTAGTATTTTATGAATTAAGCTATTTCGCGTATGTAAGTCAGCTGTTTACATATGATTAGTAGAATAGTGTTATAATCACGGTTAATGGGGCATAGAGCCGTCAGGACCTAGACACTGACCACACAGGACAGTGTATTGACCAGATGTCAGCTCACTTGGAACAGGTAAGACAGCCGACAAGTTAACATGAGAATGTGTCAGACCGGTCACCTCGCATACTCGGCGGCCTCATGCATATTAACTACAGTAGAGCATTGGTTGTGAAGTTCACGGTCAGGGGAGTGGTGAGAGGTTGTAATATTAAAGCACCGGATCGCCTGGTATAACAAATAGCAAGGATGCATCCAGAGACAACCAAGGTGTAACGTCAGTAGTGAATGGAAGGCGATCAAAGTTCATCTGACGCTGGCCGGCATTTTGATGAGAGGAATGGGGCCCGTAGTCTTAAGGATCACAAGCCTGCCTTGTAATCCGAGAGCGCGGGTTCGAGCCTGCGTAGGGACCGGGCGACCCTCGCAGTATCCTTAGACCACGTGCGACTGGTGGTGGTTGCGCGGCAGTGAAGCGTCGGTACTGCGTAACGGCGTACTTCTGATGCCTTTTTAATGTGGCCACCAGGCTCCCCAAAGCAAAGCGAAACCGGCGACGAACTCCGTCCGTTCACATATAGTGCGTTTCAGCCGGCTTGTTGCCGAAGCCTTCACAACTGAAGCAGGCAGGCGGAGCTGTCGGTTGACTATCCTAAATATTGCACGCGGGTTTTCACACATGGGGCAGTGACCGGCGATCGAACTGACGGGCAGCATCGGGTCATTCGCGATCGGGTTTCGCGGAATATGTTTCAAAATCTTTGTGGACAGTCTGCTCCCAGTTCAGCTTACGTACTCGCTACCGCAAGTACAGTGAAATAGGTAAATGCCTGAGGGGTCAAGTCGAGAGTCTGGTCCGTCCAGGTTGGATTTAAACAGCAACTTTCTAACTTAATGCAAAAGCACAAGCTCAGCACCGTAATAACACTATTTTATAGATTGACGGAGACGATGTCGGAATATGCTGTCATTTTGGTCTCCTTTGAATGGTAGCGTTATGGACATTTTTCTTAGGGACGTCGGGCATCCGTACGTACCGTTTTGGTGTTCGTAGTTGAGTGCCGTGATCTGAACTTCGCCGAATATCCGTTTTCAGGTAATGTCGATGAGGCACGTTGCAGCTCACATTCAATCATTTCATCAGAGCAGCTCTGGTGACCTCCCGCTAATGTGGCACGAACCAGAGTTCATCTGTAATTCATAGGACAGAAACTGTTAAAGTTAAGGTATTGTTCTGTCTAAATAGGCTTGCAGTACGCAGATCGAATGAGTCTACAAGTTGGGCTTCTTGGTAGGCTATATACATATATTCACAATCTGTTTACAGATAATGTGCTATCTTTGTAAGCTGACATCCAAAAAATGGAAAGCACCTGAAGGGTTGTTGTCATCTGTAACTTCGATCGCGAGGTGGCAGTTGCTTACAGCCAACAATAAATCTTTTGCTTGCTCGGCAGTGTCTACGACGAAAGTGTCATCGATATAGCGGCTATTTGAATGGAGTTTGTACGTAAGGACGTTGCTTAGTGTTTTCTAGGCGGCCCAGGAAGATATCAGCCAAGATTGGTCCAAGTGGATTACCCATGGCTACATCAATCGGTAGATACAAGATATTGTTAGACCTGAACTGAGGTCCTTGGTGCAAAATCGTAGTGGTGACTTCAACTGTTCCAAGTGTAATCGTTGAGATGCTAAAGAGCATACACTAGTCCAAGTAAATTCTTCCTTAATGTGTGTATTGCAGCAATCGGCTGAGGTCAGAGTCTGCGCTGGCATCAAACTATTCCCGTGCTAATAGATGGGCATCAAAAACTAATGGGTTAAAGAATCCGAGGCCCAGATCCCTACGCAACTACCTTTTTCAATAAGTTGTAGGGTGTATCTCGGTGCCAAACTCATCTCTCTTGTGCCAGTCAAGGTATAAGCGCCAGCACCTCAACCAGTGTGAATAACGAACGGCTCTGTTAGCTAACCATCCCGTTAAATGGACAGACAGACAAGTCTTAACTCAGTGGGAGGTGATATTTCCCTGATTACTACTTGTTGAATCGCATTCCAAGTCCTTGGAGTTGAGTTTGTTCCCTAGAATACCAACTTAAGTTTGCGTAATTTAACCAGTATGTGCTTTAGATTAGTGTCATGATAGTGCTTTCATTGAGTAGCGCCACACACTCGCACGTCGGCTACGACGCAAACTGCTGTGATTTTGAAGCCTCTAAGTAGTGAACTACAGCCAGAAAGCTCAATGCAACCATCGGAATTGGCCGAATGGTGTAGGTAGTCAGAAAGCTCGACATGTCATCCAGGAGGGTATACCATAGCGCAGAGGGACCGAGTTTCGTGAAATCCTAGTCAATGAGGGCACTGGCAATATATCAGTGAGCGTCAGCAGGTGGTATTTTCTTCTGAAATAGTATTGAGAGGTTTTAAGTCAAGGCGTAGCCGTAACAGATCGCCGAAATGCTGAGCAAGAGACGCCGCCTGGTTAACCCAATCGGTGTGGCTTAGGTATAATACCTAGGGCAGGCAGACACCATCTGCTGTAAAAGTCCAACGCGTAGAGCAATGGGCAACTTACTAGCCGATAAAACAATAGGCACGGTTGATTCGTTGGGTGGTAAATGTGCGTTATCATCAAAGCGTCTCATTACTCCAGCAAAAATATCAGGATAGAGGCCGACAATGCCTGTGTTTGGCTAAGAAGAACGCACAAAGCATCTATGCTTAGAAGAAAGTCAAGCTGTTGAGAAGAAACAATGCTCAGGATGGGTGAACGTACCTTTCGGTTAGAGTACCGAACAGTTGCACATCTTGGGACAATGTTGCGCTTTATCAGGCCGCACTCTAATATGGTGTCTCTCAGGCAGGATGTAAACAGTGATCCAAGAGTCCGACTGGAAGCGCATCGGATGTATGCTAAAACTCTGAGTGGTGTAGAAAGTCTTCTTTCCTCCCTGACGTTTCACATTATTGATGAATGTGCGGTGCATGACTGAGTGGTTGTGGTGAAACTTCTTGTAAACGTCAAAAACCCCGCTACTTATCTCTGACCGACAGGTTGTCGCAGTTGGCTAGGATGACTCTGGCCAACTGGTAGAAGCGTGCGGCGTCTGTTTCGAACAACTCAAGGAAGCCCTTTCTTAAGCTGGACAATTTTTGGGTAGGGTGGCTGCAGCCGCATGGAAGCGGCCAGTACAGAGGCACATTGTGCCATCGTGGGTTTAGGGTAAACAACAGCAAAAATCTCAGCCACGGATACACAATTTATCCACTGAAATGGGCATACTGTCTCCAACTAGCTGTTACAAACGTTGATATATTAATCCAATGACAAGTTTCTCAGTTGCAGAAGTCCCCGAGTCGTCTCCGTCTGAGATGTTCCGTACAGTTAGATGTCGTACCTGCGAAACCCGTACACTGTTAGCAAAAGTTCTAGCTCAGCAATGCAGATGTCAGTCGTTTCTCGAGAGTCAATCCCGACCGAAGAGTAGGTAGCGGGGAGAGGTTAAGTTTGTTTTACTTACACGAAGTTCACTGAATGATAGGAATATTTTGTCAACGTCAAGTTTTTGACACCAGTCGCGAAATTTGACTGCCTACGAGACCTGTTTTGCTTCGCAGCTAGCGGTACACTGGACTTTCTGTCCAGTTGTCAATATATTAAGACATCTCCATTGTTCTCGATAAAAATTAGCTTTCAGATGGTGAGCCGTCAGAAACGAGGTTAGCAAAGAAAAAGAGTATAAATTTCGAGTGAAAGGATCAACTAAAAAATAAAGGACTATTTGCGGCAACATCACTGAACTAGCAACTGAATTATGTCGGAAATTGTCCCTAACCACTAATATCGTCGTTGAAATGGTCTACGACACCGAACAAATCCTTGAGGTCACTGCTTTAGGCCCTTTTCGCCATATCGTCGGTTGGTCCCCAGTGTAATAATACATGCTGCGGCGGGTACTTAATAAGAGTGCGAAAGTAGTGCTGAAGCCGAGGTGAGTAAGGAAAGTGAAAACGATGGGCTAGTGCTGCGCCAGTGGGCTTTGCATCAAGTACCAACTTGTGGACTTCAGTATCGCTCATCTTGTGGTCCAACAAACGCGGGCAATGGTAAGCAGGCATCTGTGAGTAAAGAGAAGCAGTTTTCAATGTTTTAAACGTGTCATAGTCGTAGCTCTGTGACAAGGCTAATATGACTGCAGAGCTGTAGCCTCCGCTCTGGGCTGATACTATAATAGTGAAAGATCGCATGCGTAGAGGGTGATGAACGAATTTAAACATCGAGGCGAATCACTGTCAATATAACGATGGAGATCTAAGTTGCACAAAAAACACGAAAATTTCAGCAAATGTAGAAGGAATGAGAAAACAAGCGGTGCTAAAAGTGGGCGCGGAAAGAAACTAGCGGATATCTCGGCAAAATATAACATCATGTAAACGAGGGTGGTTGGACCAAACGGCTACAAATGGGCGCAGCCAGTAACTTCGTACCGATTGGTGGTTCAAACTTGAACTTTCTCCCATCCTCTGTGGTAAGTTCGTCGTCCAGCGGGTTGAATGACAGGTCGCCACCAAAGGCCAACGCGGTCACTAACTCGGGTGAGGTGACAAATGCATGAGTAGCTGGGTTGGCATCGTTACGACCAGTGAAATTACGATTGTAGGAAGAGACGATGGTGTTCTTTTCACCTTTCTTGACGTCCTGTGTACAGAATACAAAGAATGTGAAATAAAGAAAAAAATGGAATTCGATGCCACGGTTTCCAGGCCTAACAGTGGAATAGGAGTAGCAAGGTCAATGGTTACAATAACCAAAATTATCAACGGTCAGGATAAGCGATTGGCTTATAAAAATGCCGTAGGCGCCACAGCCTGATTTCTGACTGTTCACCGTCCTATGAGGAAGTGATGTCGTTTTGACAGAGCTAAAGTGTGAACAAGATTGTACAGACTACCACTGAAAAAGTGTATTGCATAGAACGTGGTATTTATGAAAGCCAGCCAATACCTTGTCCAGTGATTGGAAAAGGAACAGCATGGTCATAAGCAGCCAGTTGAATGGAGGTTAAAACTCACTTGACGCGACCACTGACCAATGCAAGGGCCACAGGCGTTGGCCAACACAGTGCCGCCGACGCTACGGAACACTTCAGTAAGGTTATCGCGTTCGATTGTAGCTCGAATTTGTTCGCTCCCCGGGGTGATGACAAATTGCGACCGGACTTTGAGTCCCTGCGCGGCGGCTTGACTGCACAAACTAGCAGAGCGTGACATATCTTCATAGGACGAATTGGTGCAAGAGCCGATGAGGCAGACGCTGATAGACATGGGCCAGTTGTTCTTTTTGGCAGTTGCTCCCAACTATTGTGTGAGAGAAAGAGTAAGCAAAAGAGTAGATCGTAACAAAGCAGAAGAAAACATGTAGGTAATAACGAATAGGTGCGAAAAATATGGGTTGAATGAAATGCAATGGATAGACCTAATGACGGAAATTGCCAAAAAGGAGTGGACAGGGCCTCACGATGGTTAAATGCAAGCCGGTAAGAAGTAAATGTGGAGCCTAGGACAGCCGAGTGGAGTGAACCGGGTCTCAAAGACAGTACACGGGGGGAAAAACGATGCATGCAACATAGCAAACCCAGCAAAAATTCTCCCGGTGACGCACCTAACAGACAAACAACCAAGTCCACACGGAACGTGCAAATGAGGCGTACAAGATGAGTTGGATTTGTGTTCATCTGGCCTGTTCAGAAGGCGTTCGGTGTAAGTTGTGCCCGACCGGGAGTGGGCGAAGTCTGAGAAGCCCAAGACTGTGGGAGTGTCTGCTTATGTTTGTACAAACGAGAACGGCTCACACATCGGTAAAAATGAAAGCGTGTAATTACACTTACGATTCAGTATGTAGCGAAGAAAGATGAAGCTGAAAAATGCAGCCAACGAAAGGATATTCGAATGCTGATAACGTAACAAGCTGAGAAATGGAGGCAAAAATGGTAGCATCCGCGAAGCAAACAGTGAATAGTAAGGCAATTACGAATGCGAACGCTGTTTATTTCATCAAACACTATGCTGTTCAGCCAAGGCTGTAGAGGAAATGTCATTTTCACCTTAGGCCACCAAAGAAGTGCCAATCAACTTAGCAGATAATCAAAGATTCCAATGTGTATCCATGATCAAAACAGCAGATAACTCGCTCTTGTCACAGATATCGATGCAATATTCCAGAGAAAATTGCGCTTGCTTCAGAAGGCGTCGAACAACTTTGTTAGTTCGTATAAAGATCATAATCTGATCACGTATGAGAGAACCCCAGGGGATTCACGACAGATGCAAGTCCGTGTGAGAATCATTGGTTCGAGAGTAAAGAAAACCGATTCTGGTCAAAGGACAAATGTTATTTATAAGTTTCAGCTGACCAGCCCCGCAGAAGCTCACCGAACCGCTGGACCACACAACAGGGCTCCGTTTGCTCACTGTCGTAGAAATGTAGGGTCTTTAGAACGCACTTCGCTTCATCACAGGTGGAACGCACGAGCATGGATCAACTAGTAGACTAACACGCTGGACATCCCAGTGAGTCAGAGCCATAAATTCCATTCCCCGCGTCTTTCACAGTTTTCAGTTGTCAAGTGGAAGAGGACTATTTGTCATCCCCAATATGATCAATGACCGTCCACCAAAAGCAGGCTGCAGCCTGTCGGTCAGCCTCAACTGTTCCCCTGATACCATAAAGGCAAAAAAGTCATTATCCGGTGCGCAGTACCGACGTTTCGCTGACGCGTAACCATTACCGGTCGCACGTGGGTTATGGATGCTGCGAATGTAGCCCTGTCCGTACGCACGTTCGAACCCGAGCCGTCAGAGTATAAGACAAGCTGGTTACCTTTAGGCTCCGATCCGGCTACCGTGTTGTGTAACAGTGCAGCAGACGATAAAGGAGTTGATAATCAAGAACGGAATGGTCATTTACATAGCACATAAATTCTAATTGTTGTGCCATCGTTTTGCAATTTCGTTGACTGGTTCTGGTCCGGCGCCCAATGCCGTTTGCTCAAGTGCACTAATCCGCTTTCCGTTCGCTGTTGGCCGTAATGGTCTACTTCCTCCTTGTGTGGAACAAGGCAGCGCCACATGCTAGGCTGGACCGTGTGCTAAGTTGAAGCCCAAATGAACATGGCTTCTTTTCCCAAAATGAAATGCATATGTTAGTACAAGATGTCCCTATTCCCAAACGCTTCCCTTGTTTGCTTTTTTACAGAAACCTACACATGCTTGCTTCGAACACCGGCACTATGAAACAAAGTGCGATTTCGGATTAGAGGTGTTTCATTCTTGCTTATTCCAACACTGATACCCCATGACAAGCTTTGTCATCCTCTAGACTCATCAGATGTTGCCTGAGGTGGGGTGAAACTCGGTGGCCAGTGTTTAATCAGCGACATCTTGATCACTCAGCCAGTAAGATCCGTAGGCAACGCTTGGCCTAGCGGTAAGGAATTCAAAGCTGAATCAAGGCGTCAGCCGAGTTCCACCACAGCTCAGACTATCACTAGCTGATAAGTTCAAAGGAGGACGAAACAGGTCATGGGGTGTCAGTGTTGGGAGGAGCAACCCCGAAAAACCTCCATTTCGGATACGGTCTTTGTGGTCGGAATGACCAAAGTCTACTTCAGGATGAAGCGAAGTAGCAATAGAGATTACATGTTGCGATCCAAATGCAACTTTGACAAACGATTTCACTTTGTACCATTGGCCCAGCATGGATTCTTCAGGGTGAATTATTTCCCTTTTGACAGATAGCCGATTAGCACAATGCTACGCAGTGACGTTTCCGCACGCCACCGCACGTCTTTCAGTGTCTGTTCATTTTCATTACAACGTTAAAACCATTTATAGGTTGTATAATGTATTTAACTTGAAGTACATAACATGGTAACAAGAATTCGCGTTTTATTTACTCTGCACAGACTATGCGCATAGTATGGCTTCACTAGCTTGCAGCTTCCCGTTCCTATCTCGTGTGATTTACTTAATCTAGGCTTCGTATCGTCACGAGTCAACTGGTAGACTCATCAACAAAAGGATGTCTGATTGCTTTTCCACTCGCTGGCTCCGTGCCCGTTCTATCTACATGCAATTAAACTTACAAACTTACGCGGGCAGCCAAACTTACCAAACACCAGCCACAATGCTTCACGGTTCACCGCATCAAACGCCTTGGTGAAATCAAGTAGACATACAGCCAAATATAACCATGGAAATCATTGAAAGAATACATGTTGAACACCGTAGCAGCATCATGACACATTAAATGAAGGTGAGCAACACACTCCAGCTACTGTGTCGCAAAGGGGAAAACAACTTTTTGTTTTTGCACACGCCGTTTTTGAATATTTTTGTCGTTTTTAATCGTTAAGCGTTGAGTATCCAAATCTAAGCGGTTTTATACACAGGTCCTCCACTGGTTTCTATTACGAGCTATATCCTGAATTGTTTCCAGCCATCGGCACTCCTCGTCCTTTGGTCCCCAACCAGGCAGTGTGGATCCAACAATGGCAAGAGGTGAAGTCAACGATTTAATTTGCTGTCGTCAGGTGGATGGTGGATCACCACGTGGTCTCTTCCAGTTGAGTCCTGCATGAGCAAACAGAGCGCGATAGGGTAAACGCTCAGCTGACATACGCAGGACATGACCGAGCCATCTTAACTGGCGCAGCAAAACCAGCTTGCTGAAGGGAATACTCGCATATCCTAAGACACGAAGTATGACTTCACTGTTGCAAATATATAGTTGCCACCACACACCAGCAACCCTCCTCAAGCACCCGTTGTCGAAAGCCGAGAATAGGCGCATATCGTCTACTCGAACTGGCCATGACTCGCTTCCATATAGTAACACCGCCCGCGCATTGCAAACACGACTCTTTACCAAGAGGGAGATAACCCGGCGACGCCACAAGTGGTGCAGGTTGACAAACGCTGACCGAGCTTTAGCGATGCGAAGAGTAACTTCCCTTCTAATGGTAACACCACCAGACACAGCTACCATGGAAGACAAAGCTATCTACTTCTTCAAGCGGTGTATCTTCAAGATTGAGCAAGGGAACAGTTGAGTGCTAATCCTGAAGCAGCACTTTACACTTTGACGGGGCAAAGCCCATTTCGTACCCAGATGCCTCAATCGACAAGCGGTCTAGAATGGTTTGCATGCTCTATGAGTCCTCGCCAAATAAGGCGATATCATCAGTATAATCTAAGTCGGTTTTTCGCTTGTCCGGTAATAGCTGTTTACCTAAATTTTGGCAATCGTCTAAAGCTCCCGACAGGATGTTTTCAATCGCAAAATTGAACAAGAACGGTGATACAGGGCAGCCTTATCGTACACCGCTATTGCCAGCAAAGGACGACGAAAGCCAGTCATACACCCTTCACTCTGCCAGAGATGTGGAAATACAGTGAGCGTAGGATGGCAGTGAACTTTGCTGGGACACCACTCCTTAGCAAACAACGCCATATTGCAGGTCGATCAACCGAGTCAAATGAGGTACAGATGTCCAGGAGTGCAACGATGGTAGGCCTCTGATAAAGGTGGCGGTGTTCCAGGATTTGACGGAGTGTGAATATCTGATCCACACACTCAATGCCAGGTCGGAAGCCATCTTGTTCTTCCCGGTAGTGTGACTCGCGAATGAGAGATACTCTACGGAGTAGTATGGATGCCAATAGCTTGGAGGCAACCGAAATGAGACTAATCCCCGGTGATTGGTACACGAGGTGCGAGCACCCTTCTTAAAACCGGGACAATAACTGACTCGCCCCAGGAAGAAGGCACCTTCTCTTCATGCCAGATTTTGGAGAACAATAAAGATTAGCTGGCAAATGATAACTGAGCCTCCATATTTGAAGAGCTCCAAAGGAAATCTGTCTGAGTCGGCAGCCTTGAATCGAGTTAGGTGTCGAATCGCAAGACAAACTTCCGCTTCGCTGGGTGGATCAAGTGTGACGACGCAGGGCTGGCAGCTGGGTTCAAAGGTGATATAAGTGGACGATGAGAGTCAATTGGAATGGGAATGAAAATGTTCGGCCCATCGGTCCAAGCATCTCCGTAAGTTGGCAATCAGCGAACCATCCGCTTCGCATATATATACTCACTGACACCAGGCTCTCTGTGGCCAGTGGATCGAATGAGCTGGAAGAGCTTGCGAATATTGCCAGAGAGGGCAGCGGCCTCCATTTCCGAATAACGCTGAGACCACCAGGCTTCACGGTCATTGCGTAGGCTTCGTTTGAGTTGCCGACTGACAGAACGGCGCACTTCATCATGATTAGACTCCGCTGAAATATTCCTGCGGCGGTCAAATAAATCCAAAGAGCGTGTGGAGATTCAATCCTTTATAGGGTGCTGAATAAGAGCACAGACTTGCTGTCTGGAAGAGATCATGGCCCACTGCATGCACGTCCAGTGTTCATCAATATCTTGCGGTGGGTCGCAGCCGAGTGCACCAACCAGGGAAGCGTGGTAACTCTGCTGAACCGAAATAATACATAGTTTATTTGTATCTAAGTTGCAGCGCTTCATTTTCGGGAACCCTCCGAAACTCACGTAGATGTTCGCACAGACAAGAGCATGGTCTGAATCAAGAAAAGTGAACCAGATGAACCTGCAATGCTTTACACTACCCCTCCATCTGAAACTGGTTGCGATATGGTCAATCTGAGACCATGATTGAGACGCACAAGGAGGTCGTCAAGGAGCGGAACGTCTCCTCGAATGCCGAAAATTGGTGCTCGAGAGAAAACGATGGTTATCTTTGTACAGTGTGGGAAGTATCTCACCGTTATTTGAGCGGCTGTCATGGAGCGCGTGGTGATCACCGAGGTGACTTTCGCATGCTGGAAGAAGACCGACTCGTGCGTTGAGATCCCCAGCAAGGACGACAATGTCAGATTTGCAGGTTCTGCTCAAGAGCTGATGAAGTTCATGGTAGAAGTCGTCTTTGACGGAGTCGGAACGGCAGTCAGTTGGAGCGTAAGCTGATCACAAACAAGTTGCGTCTCTCCTCATGACATCGGTTTATCTTGCATGATCCTCGAATTGCAAACAGTCGGCTACTAATCCGGAAGCAGTTCAGCAGTGCTGCCTCGGCTTTGCTACTTAGCGTCACACCAACACCAGCCAAGCCTACCGCAGCTGCTTCTACGTCACCAGATAGACGTAGGTGAAATATGGCTCCGCGGTCGGTGGGAGATCTCAGCTCAATCACAGTACTGGGATTTTGTAAGCGCGTTTCGGAAAGACAGCAAACATCGATGGCGAAGGATTCTAGGGTGTGCGCAAGACCAGCTTGCTGCCCGATTTGTTTGAGTACATTGAAGCATGCCAGACGGAACAAAGACTGAGGCCGAAGGAGTGCGACTGCGCGAGCTCTCTTGGTGTCGACGAAACCATCCGGAGTAGATTCATGGAAACAAGAAGCATTTGGTAACGGATAATGCTGATTGGTAACAAATGAACAGGTGGCGTATGATGAGTGAGTAGCAGGAGCAAAAGCAGTTGCGAGTGATATTGCAGTTGAACAGTCCATGGTTTTGTCAGTGGGCGTGATACTACCTGGTTGTCCAAGTCGAAGTAAGGAGTTGTCTTAGGGGACTCCACCCCGAGCCTTTGGCTAAAAAGCCTGACCGCAATGCAGCGAGGTAACTGTGAGACTAAGTTAGTCTGACCCATAACCCTTGAAGTGTCTGGTATGAGCGGCTCTGCACGCACTTGAAAGTGCCACCCAACGTAGCTCAATGGGTCAGAGGGGTACAGAAACCATCGCACCACGTAAAGGCCCAGTCTCGATAGACAGAAAGAAACCCGCGCCAGGCAACCTTCAACACGGAGTGCGAAGATGAGTGGATGTTTCGTTGGTCAGAACTGATGCACCTAGTATAAGCTATGTTTGAAACAATAAGCAATTCCGCTTGCACCTCGGGTTTGTAGATTATGACCACGGCCAAATGAAGATGAGAGTGCTTCGAACTCAAGCACATAGGCGGCCAATGGACCAATAAGCCGATTAGCAGAAATGTCACGAATCGACTAGGTTAAGTGAGGCCCCTAATATTATAGTGGACAGTTAGTGCGATCCAAGGGAGGTGTGAGAGACCATGCGGTAGATAAACGGTACGTAGCTAGTAGCACGAAAGAGGAATAGAGAGCAGTGCTTTTGTGACCAAAACCCGACTTGTGGCATAAAAAGCGGTTTGAACCAAACTACGGAGGAGCGGTGACGACGCAGATTCGGATACACTGAAACGGTTTCAAGCATTTCAGCAAAAAATGTTGGTATGCTTCGAAAGTGAGTACTACAGAGGTTGATAAACATGGACGAAATAAAAGCAACGAATAAAGGTCGACGCCAGCCAAATGTATCCATATATACAGAAGCAGCTGCTCATTCGACTACTAGGGGATGCCTTAGTAAAAAGGTGCGTGGTGCCGGTTACAGAGGTGCAACTGGCTTACAATTGGTGGGCCAGCTGTATGTCTATGTCAGGTTTCTTCAAACCGTTGGGTGTGCAAGTCGCATGCAGCGTGTTCCGAACTCCTACGCAGATTTATTGTTCAGGCGATCAGAACACAGCTTTCAGTTAAGAAGTACGCGAGCAAGCGACGGAAGTTTGCGGGGCCCATGCAAACATGAAAACTGAGGCGTTAGCCCGAGCGCAGTAGAATGACGAAATACGAATTCATAGCAGAAGCAATTCACATACATATTAATGCAATTAGGTCATGAACACATTGCAAGATGAAAACGAAAGTCGTCTAGTGAAGCCAATTGCATTCAGTTAGTGAATTCACAACGGAAGAGGTGAGTCGTTGCATCAAATACATCAGCACTGAATACATACCTCCCAAATAGGATGAGCTAAGTCAGGTGTGAATGGACCGTTCACATGTGGTTGCAAAGTATCTAAGTTGATCTCAATGACTCGATCGTACTGACAATCTTGATCCGGGGTTAATAAAGAACTCTAAAAAGAGAAACGGGAAAGGGATATAAAAACAATAGAGAAGAAACATTAATAATTCGTTCAACGGAGTTCATTTGTTTTGGAGTGGACCGCATAAGGTTATTGAATATTTCCACACCAGGGTTCTAATTTAACAGGTTAACTTATGACTATAAGGAGCATACAACGATGCCATAACATTTCGTTCTGAACAACCCGTAACATAGCACCTCTAATCCGAGGAGTAACAGCACAGTGGCAGGGACCCGGGCACAGATCACAAATTAAAAAAAGTTGACGATGCCCTGAAAAACGATGCAGCGCACAACAGGGTAAGTATTTATAAGATGTCACCGAAATACAACGTGCAAAGGCGAAATAACCACACATCCAGAAATCAAAGCTCATTGGAAGCGGCACGGTACCAGGACATGATCAAAGTGAGTTTATCACGAATAAACGTTAATTTCAGGTGTTGCGAGTTGATGGCAGTGGATCGGCGTCGATGGAGAGAGCATATACAGAGGGCGGTTACACAGGTGCAAGAAAAATCACTACTGCAAGCGGAAAAGAAACGTCGGTTAAGAAAGCGACAGGTGTCGATGGTGGATAGCCCATCATCATCAACGCGGCGTTTGGGAAGTTCACTGCTTCCGATTCAAGGTACTAACCCAGGTCAGTAAGACGGTGGATGTGGTATGTGTGCCGCATCGTCGTTGTATCTAGCTTGTAGGTGCGTCTGCGTGTTGAGATACATGTATTTCAGGCGCTGGCTGTTGACTGAGATACTCGGTGTGGTTGTACTTATGTGAGTGATGACAAGGCGCCTACTTTCTATTACCCACCACCTCACCGGTACTAGCTCCAGGAGAGAGTTGGTCGTTGCTGGAGGGGCCGGGGTGTACCGCTATCGTGACGATGCTAGGTTCAGATAGTGATTCTATCCTGTGTGGAAAGGGCCAAGGCTCAGCCACCGCAAGTGTACATCTGGTACGCATGATTTCCCAATTAGGCAGGAATGCTTCTGTCCTGCTTGTTGAGGGAGAGTGGGCCGGCTCCGTTGATGAAACGTGGCTCCTATGCACATGCCTCCGGTCTTATTTCTGGACATGGAGTGTATAGATGGAGCTATGGGTGGTGCAGCGCAAGCCCCCCATGATCCCTCTGCAGGCGCAGGCGTTCGGTGGGAAGTCCGAAAACGGATGCCGCCAACCGTAATAAACGCGAAACGAATAGCAGCAATTCAAGAAATGCGTAACGCACAATAGCGTTTGGTAATTATTGATTAACAAGAAAGTGAGTACATCAGTGGATCGTGAAGGATGAACTCAGATCTTAAATAAAGTTTAACTAGAAAAGCACCAACCAGGTTTTTCACGGAGTGTGACTAATGTCGTTTAGAGTAAAAATAGTTGCAACAGCGGAATTAGCTAGTAAAGAGTTAAGCAAGGGAGTAAGGAAAGTGGGAGGGAACAGCTTTTAAGGTTGAAGTAAGTTGATCTACTTTTACTTCGAGCCAAGGCCGAGCTCGAGGATCTAAGCTACGCCGAGAAATGCCCGAATGCAGTCGAGTTACGCGGTGTTCTTCGTATAAAGTACGACAACAAAAATACTTGTGGCACTCAATCATATGCAATTGACTTTGGTAATCTCCAGAGATCAGGAAACACCGCTCCATGGATACAGGTGCAATTCGCCCCCGATTCACAAGCAATCGAATGTGCTAGCGTGTATAGGGAAGTAAATTAATGTGCCAAGTCAACGCATCGTTTCATCCATATTGTCTTTGTTGTGAAGCCATTAGTACTGCTGCTAATGACGATGATGAAGAGAATGATAGTGACTTCTTAAAGAAGATAAGCGGTGAGACAATAAAGTAAACTGGAATGTCAGGATCAAGCATGTAGTGGTGAATACAATTGAAATAGAGGAAAAAACGATAATTTACATCCACAGAGACTGGAAAGTGCTGACACTGGACTAACCTTATACTTCAATGCCAACTCAGCGATGGCCGAGCGGTTGGTCGCCCGGAGGAAGTCGACCATTCGCTGATTGAATGGAAAAACGGATGTGGTAGCCCCGATTTCGGCTCCCATATTGCAGATAGTGGCCATTCCAGTGCAAGAGATCGACTCAATTCCCGGGCCAAAATACTCCACAATACTGCCAGTGCCGCCTTTCACAGTAAGTATTTCGGCCACCTGATGAAAAGAAAATATATATCGAAATCAATCTTTTATGGTTCAAAGTAGGTGAGGCAAACTGCAAAAAAGAAGTAGGCAGAGTTATGCACAACGTATACGAATGAATTGCTTGCCATGCTATCAGATAGAATAGTGAGGATAATGTAGAGGAGCTGGTTCTAATATGAGACAGGGTTCATGGATAGGTCTCGTAGCTATCTAGAGCAAAAGTACCACGTAGAAGAGTTACCTGTTGTCGTTATCCAATTCAGTCTAAGGCAAGGTCAGGTGATGGTGAGAAATAGTGCGGCTATGGCAGTGACATAAAAGAAAATGAGCACGGATAGTTTTCCCTAGGTTACCGATCGATCAGACCAGACATAACAAAGTGTGGTAAAGCCACTCGAAGATGCTACAGCAGATAGGACTTGAGAATACATGACGGAAAGTAAACTAGTTCAAGCGAATTCACACACACCAGACTGTCAAGAGAGGTTTCTGTGATAATCAAAATTTGTGGACATACCCAATGGTAGTCAAACAGCCAGCTGCTCCTAACACGATGGCAAGCAGTCAGTCAGGTCACCGCTGTAGCTTCCAGGCGCTAGCACGGGTCAATGACGATCCGTCTACACCAGGGTTGTAGTAAACGCTTGAGCAGTCTGCCTGCACAGCCAAATAGCGATGAATTCTGTGGCGTCTAATATCCGCTAGCGGAGGTACTTTGATCGAGCGTACTGGCCGACGTAGCGGCGTCACCTGTGGCAGTAAGGTGCGCGAGGATTGCAGTTGGTAGTTTTTCGACCTCCAGCTCAGAGTCAAGCCGGATGGTGTTTCTTCAACCTATCGGATAATCACATGGTCGTAAGATCAAGGTAACCTGCACCACAGGAACAATAGAAAGAGTAAGTACATTGATTTGATGTGAACAGGCAACTTATCTTTGAGATTGAGTTCCACCATTGGGTTGCTGATGAACTGGATTTGAATCCGCGCCGACTGGAACGCACGCCAGAGTTTTCGTGAAAGATGGCGGGATAGAATTACCGCTGCAATTTCCCTACGTACGACAGTTGCAGGAAGATGGGTGTCCGTTCCACACTCAGGACTGCAAGTGCCTTATTCTTTCGCCCCATATTGGCTTTTATAAAACTCTCGGGGTAGCCATTTTCGTTTGAACATATGCGCTGGCTGATTAGAGACCCGCTGGGCCTGCCCATAAATTTTGATTGCTATATAAGTATAGAAACCTGATGAACCATTATCGAAAACCGGTTCGCTTACCAAGACTTCTGATCAGATGTTATGTAGTGTGTGGACGGGGACTGATAATGAGACACGGCCTTAACGTGGTGCGACGGTTCGCCTACCTTGAGCTTTACTGGGTGGTGCCCCCGGGGGCGCATTGACAGCTACTCGTAAGAGGTTGAGCAATGGTTATAGGTCATACAAACACACACATATATATATATATATATATATATATATATATATATGTATATACGGTTGGGCTAAACCAACCTACACTTAAACTAGGTCTTTTTAAGCTGGATAAATTTCATTCCACTTTATTTGGTTTGTTCCGCATACCTGAATAATGTTCTATTAACTGGCCACGTTGCTTACGCTAATTGCGCTTACCTTCGGTAACTTTGTTGCATTTGTAGCATTTTTAAGTAACTTGTGGACATTTCTTATCGCGGATTCGTTGCTAACCAACTTACTTCATATGGTAATTTAGGGAAGAGTTATGCCGCCGTATCTGTATGCATTATTGGATTTATTTTATTTCATCTTGTCGTTTCAAGCGAATGACTGTTACTTGATATCCCTGGGGTGTCTGCGCTTGATGTGCATGTTGACAAGGTGCCTACCTGTCTATTACCCACTATCTCGTCCATACTGGCTCTAGAAGGTTGGCGGCATCCGGTTTCCGATTCGCTTATCACTGTGGCCAACCACAAGACGCCTGCGCCTACAGAGGGACCATGGATGGCTTGCGCTGCACCACCCACAGCTCCAACCACACACCCCATATCCAGTGTAAACCCGAAGGAATAAGACCGGGAGGCATTTGGATGGGAGCCACGTTTCATCAACGGAGCCGGACCATACTCTTTCACAAGCAAACACAAGCACGGTGTATTTGGGAAATCAACCGCACACAAGGCAGTGGCTGGACCGCAGTCCGCTCCACACTGAGTGCATGGAACCACTCTTTGACCTTAACACGTCCACAAGGACCGTGCACCCCGTCCCCTCCAGCAACGACCAACTGTCTCCTGGAGCCAGTATGAACGATGTAGTGGGTAATAGACAGGTAGGCACCTTGTCAACATGCACATCAAACGCAGCCACACCTAGGATGTCAAACAACAGCCAATCTTTGGAAATGGCGATATGGAAGAAAGTAAACGCATATGATGACACAAGTACTCGTTAAATGAGCATATAGAAGAAATTCGTTATAAGTGAATCCGGGATAAGTACAAAATGTCCGAAAGTTATTTAAAAAATACAAGGCGATAAAATTACGCAAACTTACCACAATTAACATGAGCGACGTGTGGAAGTCAGAAGATTATCAAGTACGCAGGACAAACCAAATAAAGAGGAATGAAATTTATCCAGCTTAAAAAGACCTAGTTTAAGTGTAAGTTGGTTTAGCCCAACTGCGCTGACAAAGCATCATGAATGCAACATTAGCCTCAGGATGGCGGATATATATATATATATATATATATATATATATATATATATATATATATATCTTCGCAGCAAACTATGTCTATTTAGACATTGAGCCGTCGAAAAACCATGAGGAACAAAATGGAAGAAAGTACAAGTGTCTGGAACAAATAATAAATATTTGGGCTTTTTGCTTTTTTGTCTGCACACGCCAATTTGTTCTTTTTTGACATTTCGAATGGTATACTTCTAAGCACGCTATTTAAACAATTCAATGTACAGTCCTTCCACTGATTCCGGTTTCGCACCGCAGCACCAAGTGTCAAGTCATTCGCATTCCTCATCCTTGGCCCTGTTAGATCGGCTTGCGCTTCACAGTCGCTCACGACTAGATAGTTTGACATTCGTGACTGTCTCGTCACGTGATTGTGTTGGACACACGCACGACAGCCGTTCAGAACTAGGCAGCTTCACCATTCTTGACTATGTCCTTTCAGATGGTTGGTCTATTTATCTATTGATCCTTTGCATCCTGGTTGTTCAGCTTTGTCAGTTTTTTAATACTGCTCGTCCAGCGCGGTGGCATGCTTGCTTCGCGTTCGGAGTGGGTTCAGGTACAGTCAGACAGCACGGTTTGAGACGTCACAGCAGCGCTTAATTGAAACATTGACAACACGAATGTCGTTACAGTCCCCATCTACGGATCCGACGATTTCCACTGCACACAAGCTGGCGCACAGTATGACAGAATTTCATTAGCCGCCGGACGATGACTTCACTTTCAAAGCATGGTTTCGCCGCTATGAAGACTTGTTAAAAACTGATGGGCGTGAGCTAGGCAATGCAGCTCAGGTACTTCATTTTTTGAGGAAATTGGGTATTGAGTATGAAAAGTACTCTAATTACATTCTACCCAAAAACACACGCGATATGCCATTAGATGACACTGAAACACTTGACCAGAATTTTCCGATGGGTTCAAGTTGTTAAACACCAGGAGGATGATTTTGTGACATGCAGCTAATGTTAACAGGGAATGTGAACGTTTCCAGCTTAGCATACTCACAAGTGATCAGTTTAAAACGGTCATTTTTTGTTTGTGGATTACGTTCTCCAAAAGATTCGGAGATTTGAACACGTTTGTTATTTCGGTTAGAGTCTAATCCAAAAGTCTCACTACAGGAGCTGGTACAGGAATGTGAACGTATGTGGACAGTGAAGCATGACAGAAATGGTTCAACGGCACAACGAGTCTTGTGTGGTGGAATGTTCATACTATTCCTACACGCCCCAGGCTATCGCACAATTCAGTACGTCTCTCCGACTTTGAAAGCCGCGGCTGTTCGCCCAGTGCTTGTTAGCATTGCGGTCAGTGGCATTTCGCTTGATCTTGCGAATTCAGACGATATATTTGCAAGCGTCGTGGGAATATGGAACATAAGGAAACCAGATTTTTGCAGGGAGCCTCCGGAAGACCGCCACCAACCTTCGCCAAAACTCCAAGTTTTCAACAGTGCGTTTCAAATGTGGGGTTTGCAACCACTAGCCCGAAGTATAAGTCAAACGGAAGTACGCCACGATTGTGATAAACGGTGGTTCTGTACGCCTTCAACTGGAAACGATCCGATATTACAATAGTCTCTCAGTCGACATGGAGCAAGAACGGTATACCCGAATGTGTTCAGAATACACACGACGCTCACGACGTGTTGGCCACTGAATTACCCATTTCTGGACAGCTCAATTGCGTTTGCACTTCGCAAGTAGCATGAACATGGCGTTTGTTACGTTATACGTTATGGACATTTGAACTTGTTAAGCATAGATTGGATAGACACAATTAATTTATCGAACACACTTTGAACAGTATTTGTGACAACTGACATAGTTTTTCACTGTGTCCCACCGATGTTCATGGTTCCGGTGCACCCGTAAAGTTTAAAGACAATGCAGAACGTTTATCACATTTCGCCTTTAAGTACCCCGATGTTTTTGCAGCAGGGCTTGAAATGTGTTCTAAGACAAACGCTGTGTTGCATCCGTGTACAGGTGTACGTCCAGTATTTTGTCCCAAAAGACCAGTACCATACGCTGCTGTTGAGGTTATGGATGCCGAAATTTGTCGACTGAAGTCCATGGGCGTCAGCAGTTTTGTGAGCTACTCAGCGTGGGCCGCTCCTATCGTCGTCATCAGAAACGCTAATGGCAGTTTGTGTATTTGTGCTAATTCTTCTACCGCATTAAATAACGCACTGTAAACGCATCAATATATGGTACCAGTTCACGTGGATTTATTCACAAAGCTTATTAGAGGAAAAATCTTTTCTAAA